CTGATTCAGCTCTCTATCTACACACGATGCAAAGACGGTTTCTGTGGGAGGGGGAGGTTCGACTGCAGGTTCGGCCTCGCCTGGGACCCTTTTCTTTGGGGGGGGTACCACTGCGGGTTCGACTTCGGGCTGGACTTCGGGCTTGAAAGCGGAGTGGAAAGGACTGCAAGGCATCTGCGCTCCTGTTTTTTGGGAGGGGGGGCCTAGGAGGTTGGACTTCGGGTTCGGCTTCGCGTTCGACGGGTGTGAAAGGGCCTTTGGGTTCGGCTTCGGGTGCGCCTTCGGACTGGACTGTGGGCTTGAATGCCGGGGTCTTAAGGAGGCAGAGGAATCTACGCTCCTGCATTTTTTCAAGGGGATTGGAGGGGAGGTTCGGCTTCGGGTTTGCAGGGGGCTCGTGATGCATTTTTGTGGAGGGGGGAGAGGTTCGACTGCGGGTTCGGCTGCGGGAATCAGCGCTACTGTTTCTTTTTCACGGGGGGGTGGGGGGGAGGTTCGACTTCGGGTTCGCATGGGGCTCGTGATGGTTTTACCATATTTTTCCCTTCAAGTCTGTGGAATCCTTTGAATCACTCTGCGGCCAAAGCCACCAGTGCCAGCACGACTACAGAGCCCATGGCTTTCCAGCGCCAGCTTCCAGGGGTGGCAGGCGCCTGCCAGTACATCCAAATAAAATCAAGATTCAGAAGATTCCTCAAGAAAATATTCATGTGACTTGCGTTCATTGCTTGAAAATATTATATATATATATATACGAGTCGCAAACACTATGTGTTTTCCTGGTCTCTTGAGACCTTCAGGCTGACGATTTGGGGGGAAAGGAGTCGAATTAAGTGGACACATCCTTTTTCTTCATGTTCAAACCGCACCTCTGGCACTTCCACCAACAACTCTTGAGCTTCTTCCATGGGAACGGCTGAATGAGTGCTAGACATCGTGATCTGAGAAGACGAGATCGGGAACAGTTCAGCCGTCTGTGAGCAGAGGTGCTGCAGAAAGAATCCACTCAGGTTTCAAGCAAGCAAAAATCGGCAGCGAAAAGCACTTGGTCTTGAAATTTGATGGAATTTGAAGAGGGTGCTTCAAAAATGCAAAAAGCATGGAGTTCCCTTCAAATCCTGGCCCCAAAAGCTCCGCTCGGTTGTTTCCAGCGCCGGCGCGCCGCGGCTTCACTGACGAACGACCTGCGCATGTTCAAAAATGAGCCGATGGTGCCGGTTGCAAGGAGGAGCAAGAACGAAGGGGACAGTTGAAAACGGGTGTCTTTTTCCGCACTTTTCTCTGGAAGTAGAACTTTGCATGCTAAATGCCACTTCTCAGGTGGAAAGTAAACACCGAGGTTTCGTGGCATCAGGCGCGTGATCCTGCCTCAGCTGAACCACAAGACTTCTCTGACTGATCTCTCAAACCCATTCAAATCCGCACATCCACAGACACATACGCGTCCAAATTCTCTACATCTGCCAGTGAAACATGTCGCACGCCCAACCGACGCCGACGCCCCCCTCATCGGCGCCCAACCGCCGGCGCCTTGGCGAAGTTAGCGGAAGGCGGCTCGCCCAGCGGCGCCGTCCGGCGGCCTGTGGGGAGCGAGAAACGTCGCACGAGTTGCACCACACGTCACAGTCGATCTGTTTTGGCTCCTCCGGTTCGGAAAAGATCGAAAAGTATGGAGCTCAGTGGGATCAATCATCCCAAAGGTTGAACACGAAAAAAGACAACGAAACCACAGTGCAGTTCTGCATTTATCCTGCATTGATTCCGGCGTCCGAGACATTTTGAGCACGTGTCATTGGCACGGTGCTCATGGTAAGAAGCATATAAATGTGCGAGGTCTTGTCTCCCTGGAGAAGAGTGTTTCCTCGACTTGTCAAAATAAGGCGTCAAATGCCCAGCCACTACCCCTTGAGGGGTATACCGGACTGAGTTACATCGCCATGCGTCCATGGCCCATGCGGCCAAAATCACGTCCAAGGCCCTGAAGCCCCAAAAGGTTCAGAACTATGAACAATAGGTTTAGAATGAGTTAGACGACGCAGCGAGGTGTCCTCGATCAGCATTGCAGCGGAACTTCCCACCAAAGAAAGTTCAGAAGCCTGTCCAAGCCTGCCATGGGGGCATCACACAGGCCTCGCATGTATCCCGCTCCAATCAAGAGGTAGGTGAGCCCAATCACAAACTCTCCAATACAGCCCACCATGCAAAGCTGGTGTTCGAATGGGATCTCACGCAAACCGTGCAACGAAGGAGCTGGCACCAGAGATCGCGGTTGACCCATTCCTGCGCGGAGACGACACCACATCGAGTCCTGCCGTGGGCCTAAGGAGACTCTCTGCTGCAGCACCTTTGCCTCGGTCTCGAGGGAATCCTTCTTAGTGAGGCTTGCCATGGTCGACCTACTGGACTTCCGCCCACTCAACTCCAATTCGTCCATTCGCCAGGGGTCACTGGCTGCTTCTGTTGGAAGGTTCTCCACGGCCACAAGCTGCTTTGGATCAGCATTCGTGCCTGCGCTGTACTTCTTAAGAAGTCCCGGGCCTACAGGGTTGCAGCATGCAGCAATACTATACAGATCAAAAACACGTACGTGACGAACACATTCACATGGAAGTGGAGTGAAACCCGCCGTCCCTAAAGAAAAGCCGTCTTCCTTTCGGGCCATGCTATCCACTCCACGTTGGTGAGTCAGTGTAGAAGCATTCGGAAAATTTCCAACAAGAGCAAGTCCTGTGCTCGTGAGGGACGTTTTGCTGTTCACGGTAAAACCCCCGAACGCCGCCCGCCTGCGGGGTTCACGGGCAAAAGCTCATGCACAACGACGACATCCTCGATCTTCTCAAGAATGAAGCAAGCAATCAGCACGCACATGGCAGAAGTGTTGAAGAATGGAGCCTTAGGGCCATTCATGGACCATCCATATTCAATGGCCCTTGCGGCCACCAAAGCCCAAATGGCCGCAAAACGGAAATAGCCACCGTAGACCTTCAGCTCGTCATGTAGCTTGCTCCATGCGGTAGGGGCGAACCAAGCCATAGCTGTTGGGCCTCCCCGGATCTTGGTGGTGATCTTGATGAGGGCAAAGCGTGACCATCCCAAGCGAGCCGAGATGTTGAGAGCCACACTCAACAAGGTGGTTGGCACCCAGGTGTAGCCGCCGCTGATCACAGCTCCTGAAAAGGTGGCAGCCAAACGACAAGCTTCTGCCAGAGCGTGAGCACAGTAGATCACTGCGGGCCCATTCAGGAAAAGTTGATCACCAGCCACCACTAGCTCACCTGCCTTCACCCTGGCTTCGAACACAAACTTGTTGTAAGTGAAGCGGGCATAGACCGCGATTCCGATTTCTGTGGCAGCGGTGGCGAACGGCAGGAAAAGGGCTGCCGCAAGGGTGTTCCCTGACGCCACCAAAGTTCCATAGCCCAGGCCAACCAGTGCAAAAATGATCCAGCCGCCCCAACTGCCAACGAGCTGAGCAATGGTCCACAGCGCAGACGGCCAGATGCGTCTTTCGGGATGTCTGTCTTGCGTGAGCCAATAGTTCAATGCTGGTGCAGTAGCAAGCATGGGCATTTCTGCTGCTGTGGGAGCCAAGAAATCTGAGAACTGGAAGTAAGTGATCGCTAGGATAGCCACCACAAAGATGATGTGACCCACCTGATAGACACCCATGCTTGGCCACTCCCCTGCGAAACAGGATGGCCACATTCCCACGCAAAAGACTTGCCCAAATAAGAGCCAGCTGATCATCCGCAAGAAGCTCCGGCCCCAGAGTACTGACGTCACATCTTCATTGGACTCCAGAGCATTGCCAACCAGAAAGCGGGCCATAGTCCAAAGGAAGGAGATCAGCATGCTGATCAGTACAAAACGGGCTGAAAAGCATCCAAACGGCTGGTAGTCAGGGTTACACACTTCAACATCAAGTGTTCTTGCAAGCTCCATGTCAGCATTCAACACCACATGACCAGAGAGCTCAATCACGGCCGTCTGATTCTCATCGCTGATGCAAATGTGACGGAGTGCTCCACTCGCATCTTTCAAGATCTTCATCTTGTGGTTCTCGGGCAGCACGATGGCATCCGGCCCAACTTTGGTCCAAACATTGCGGCGTTTGGCACCGATCTTCTTGCCAAAGGAAGAGATCCCATGCTCAGGCAATGGTGGTTGCCAGCTGAGACATGAGTCCTCCACGGGGTCATGCTCCACTTCAACACGATCATCGTTCTCACCCTCGATCAAGATATGCGCCAAGCGCCCTCCTGCTGTGAGCCTTCTCCTTGCAAGTACTTCATCAGCTTTTGACCCTGGCCCCACAATAATGAGGCAAAGGTCCTTGTAAGACTTGGCATCCATCTTCGACATGACGACTCGTGACAAGCTGTCAAGCTGCTCGCAAGGAGATTACAGCTACACTGCAACACTGCTCGTGTTTGAGGCAAAATGCTTCTTGACTTCTTCTTGAAAAGACCCATGCATCACAACATTCAGCAGACACGGAGCCACACACACGTGCAAAAAAGTGCTTTTAACAGTTAACAATGCCGTTTTTCAAAACTTGCGCATCTCAAAACCACGTTTTGCTAAGAAACTGCATCCACAGAAGTCGAGCAAGGTTGTCATTTCGATATAAACAGCAAACAGATCATTGAGATATTGGCCTGAGTTGCCACTGACACCTTTCCAGCCCAATATTAACTCCACCCGCCTCTGAAGTCGGCTGTCATCGTGGTAGTCTGGTCATCACATGCTCCTGTTGAAGTCGCGCGCTGTCATCGTGTGTCCGACGTACGCGATGCCTTTCTTCCGTTGTTCTTCGACCCAGCTTTCTTTGCAAGGAAATGGAACACACACATCCATTTACCGAACGCTCTGGAGGCAACTGCCGTAGATGAAGCCTCCAGTTGCAAAACTAACATTCATGTAATGTCTTTTCGGTTGTTCTTGACGCATGCATCACCCCGGCCAGCCCTTGTCGCCTGACACACTGTGAAAGTGCTTGTCATGACAATCTACCCATTGGCCTTGACACGCCGTAATCTCCAACAGTTGAAGATTCGAGCTTCCTCAACAACAAAGGGCCCCAGTCTATGCTACAACACCCTATTCTGGCAAGAGAGCACCCACCTCTTGTGGGGGGCTCCAACAAAAATCAGCTTCTGTGGAGCTGCAAGAAGCTACTAGGGGCTCCTGGCCTTACTACTAAGTAACAAGAAGCTATTAGAAACCATATGTCTTAAGTAAGATTAAATCTCAAACTCTTAGGTGCGCCATGTTCGTCCCTCTTCAATTTTGCTTTGGAGCCAAGAGCAGGACGCCTTTGTCGCCTTTTGTTCCACGAGGGAACCCGTGTCGCATTCGACCGAGTCCGCGCTCCACTACTCCTCTACGACCGACGCACCGATGCGACCGACGCACGGAGCTCCGACGTCTCTTTTGTCACACCTGATGCGTTCGGGAGCGTCGGGAGCGGCTCCAAATTGCCGGAGCGTCCGACGCACGGAAAACCAAGGACTGGGTTCCGTGTGAAGCAAAGGACGCACGGTCGTCACACTGCGTTGCTCGGTGAGATGTTCAGGCCAAGCAACCTGATGTTTGAAACTTGAGAGGAGGGAGACACGAAAGGTAAAACAGCGGGAAGAGAAGAGAACGCGAGAGGCAGGAACAAAAATGCAATGTTCGACATGGTGATTTATCCCCTCGGAGGCGACCTTTCGTACATATATGTTCATATGCACTTTAAATGTTCAAACATGTGCTCTCGAAATGTTCAAAAAGACATGGCTCAGATCATCGGTGAGCATTGAATCGGAACATCATAGGATTTGAACTATCCTGAAACCAGAAGAGGCTCACGAAGACGCTCCCCAGGAGAGAATTGACGTGCTTCACAAAACAAACTCTAGGTATGTATCCCCTCGGGGAACACCTTTCGTGATTAGAATTTCATATTCACTCTTTCTGAATGTTCAAGAGGGTTTCAACTATCCTGAAATCATGAGAGGCTCACGAAGACGATCTCCAGGAGAGAATTGATTTTAGAGGGGGGGAGGGGGGGGTGAAAGAGTGACTAGGGCGTACACGGTAGAGGTGCAGACCGCTAGTGTCTTTTATGCGCAGAGTCTTATCCTCTTTCTCTTTGAGCCTTGAAGCAGTCAAGCATGGACACACTATATCAGCTGTTGGAGTGGAACCCTGTACAGGTAGGCTCTACTTTTCAGCAGGCACAAGATTCATGTCCACTTCTAGCTGATTGCGTATGTCGCATACTCTTTTTCTACTGCAAGGCTAAAACAGTCCAGCTAGCTCTGACAACTTAAAAGAAAACTACGGTGCCATGTACTTACCTAATCCAGTGTGTTTCACACTTCAGAGAAGGTAATCTCATAGCTACTAAATACAGTGAGGGAGCAATAGCTGACTCACCTCAAGTACAAAATCAAATCGATAATGTACCTCGGCTGGAGACTGTACTTTTCGCAGGCGGAGATACCATGTACCGGCGCTCACTAGCTCTTTAGGGCCTGAGCTAAATCAAACTAAAAGGGGAAAGCGGCTTTTTCTCTACAGAGACCTATAAAAGAATCAAACGACACTCGCGTAACAAAGAACTAAAAATTCAAGACCGCGCAATGCAATGAATTAAGATGCCTTGCAAAATGCAAGGAGCGTACGGTCCGAGGAATAATCTTCTCGTGACGTGGTCTCGACCGCTTTCATTCACAGACAAAATAAACTGCATCAAAAGGACTCTCTTTCACATTCACATCAAAAACACAAGAAGGAGATACCGGCAAATGTATGTACAAAACTTGCACTACAAATGCAGACTTATGAAATGACTTAATCATCAACCATGAATGGTTGTCCATTAGAGGTCATCTCAGAAAAAGCGGCTGTGATAGATATCATCAGTTATGCAAAACTGTCCATACCTATCTGCATGCTAAAGCGTATAAACCTGGAATGCAGGAGTATCTTCTTTGATAAAAAGTTTCTCCTCATTGCAAACCAGAATTTATTAAAACTTCAGCCTGGCAACTTAAAGTCAAGCCTGGAAGCAAAGTATCAACTGTAACCAGAAGTATCTTCACTTCCTAGCCATCATTTAAATTTCAGCCTTCGCTCAGGAATTATACCGCTGCAAACGATGAAGTTGCTTGATCAGAAGTTGGCGGCCTTCCTTTCTTTCTATTCTGCTTCTGTCTCTCCTTCCTCCGCACGTTCGCCTCATGAAGCGTTGCTCCCATGCGATACTGTCTTCTGTCTCCAGATGAAAAGGAAGCTGGTCTGAGTGAAATAAACATTGGACCATGACTGTCCTCGTCAGTGGGCCTTGAGCACATAACCTCTGTGTCAATCATAGCAAAGTTCTCTGAAAAATTACAGATGAACTCCTTCGTGCTCACTGTGGAATTTTCATATTCCTCTTCACTCATTGAATGACCCCATTCAACAATGGTAGACAAACATGTATCGCCAAGCTGTGATCCTTGGTATTCTTCTTTTTCAACAGTAGAGTATTCTTCCCAGAGTTTATCAAAGTAAACTTCACACTTCTTGAGGACCTGTGAAGTAGAACTGTAAAATGTTCTGGGAATAGGTGCTTTGATACCAGGATCTGCTTTGACACGAGCTTCTGAAAACCTGCGGATCCAATGCTGCATGGTGCTGTAATAGTAGTTAGCCATTGGCTGCCTTTTGTACCCAGACATTCTGTAGGCCAAACTATTTGCATCACCAGAAATGATGTCCACCTCATAGACAAAACACTCGTAAAGCATCAATGCTGTCTGTTCTCCTGTCAGTAGGTGGGCATCCACAGCACGGTGTGTATCAACATGATAATTACAGACTCTGATGGTATTCATGTTCGCTCGAGTAAGTGGAACACGCTTGTCCTCAGGACCATAGTCATCAAATTCAAAGTCTGCATCCTTGAAATCTTGACGAGGCCTTGTTTCTCCAAAACAAATCTCGTAGATAGCCCAAGTTACATCACGCTGTTCACAGTGACCAAGATCTTGGTCATGTCCAGCAATGATCTTGACATATCCACCTGGTGCCAATCTAGCCATCACTGCAAGATTCTCCCAATCATTGAAACAAACTGTCCAATTCTTTTGCTCAATAAATTCCTTGGCAGGAACAAGAAGATGAGCCTCCTGGAGAATCACGACATGTGCACGTAAAAAGAAGAGCATGTTGAAGAAAAGATTGTTTTCAATTTGCTCATATTGAAGTGACATGGCACTCTGCTTGCGTGGCTTCATTGCACCATCAAGTCCTTGGAGAAACCTTGGTGTGGTGTACTTCTGACCACGAACCATGTTGCCATAGTTCCAGGATAAAAATGTCAAGGACTCTGAGCTGGCCAATAAATTGGTTCCATATTGTTCTTCTATTCTTCCCTTGAGGAACCTTCTGCACAGCTCTTCATAGAAGGTGACAAAGTCCCAACTGGGTCCCTTGGGACCATATGATTCCAGTTCCTTCTTTAGTTCCTTTTTCGTATCCTCCAATTCTTCTCGAGCATGACCTGCCCTTTCAAGGGCCTTTGGATCGACCTGATACCTGCCATCCAAATAAATGATGCGATCATCATTGATAAAGAATCTCTTCAAATCATGCTCTGGTTCATGTTCATAACAATCAGGTGGAGGTACTGGACAGACATTTCGAATGGATCGAACAAAATCATTCTCGTTGATCCTTGACTGATAATGAGGATGGGAAATCTCACCTTTTCTGAAACAAACATGATTCAGCAATCTTGCATGAGTTTCCCTGAAGCGTAGTTGATAAAAGCCAATACCTGGATCTCCTGTAAGCTCTCCAAGCAACTTCAAAGGTGAAGTATGCAATTCATAGGTATCGTCAGCTTTTGTTGTATCCTTTTCAACAACTACTTCAGATGGAAAAGATTCTTGGATTTCAGCCTCCAATTTCTTCTCTCCATCATCCTCTCTGACCTCTTTTATTTTCTCCACCGCCTCTTTCTTCTCTTCCATGGTTGCATCATCCTGAACTTCTTCATGAAAATGAGGATCAGGAATCTTATTCAGGCGGCTTCTCTTCGATTTCCGCTGACCTGAAGTATCATCAAGGTTAGCATCCATCTCACCTGATGGTAAGTGCGATGCAGTTGAGTCTTCACCTATCTCTCTTGACAGAAAGTGTGGTGTTGACTCTTCCTTGGCTTCCTCCTGGTCGTCTTCCATCTTTGGTTCCTCTGAAGGAAAGACACCTGCATTCTCATCAAATATTTCTTCTTCCTTTTCAGGTTCAACTGCAGGATCTTCTTCAGGAAGTTCCTCTTCCATATTCTCATCTTCTAGAAGTGTCATACTTCCAGTATAGATTCC